GGGCAATGAATAGAAGCCTAAAAAAAAAACTTGAGTGAATAAGAGATAATAATGAGACTTGCACAGATTTTAGAAGCATATAGGCCACTAGAGAGAAAAAAAAACGTTAGCGTGTAATTTGTCCATAAATTAACCATACGAAGCTTTCAGACCTTATTATGAAACAATACACAGCAACAGCTTGATGACAGACAGATGAAAATTATGTCTTAAGATAAATTCATGTAAAGTGAAGCTAAATCTTATATATAAAGTACAGTGTATGTGTTTGTGCGTGTGTGTGTGTCCCAGCGACTACTCCACTCCCACTGGTCCGATTCCAATGATTCATAGCTCATCCCTAGAAAATTTAGGCACAGGGAACGATTTTCGTTGAGCTCAGATTCAGGGTTGCCAGATTATGCGAGGTTAAATATATATAGTCATATATTATACTAGCCATTATCGTTGCTTTCATGGCTCAAGAGAAGTAACTCTTATTTTCCTTTTGTATCCAAAATTGTAGCTAGTTTCAACTTTTAAGCTAGCTAAAAATCTGAGCTAGATTAAAAGCTGCCCAATCGGGCGGCATTTAAGCTAGCTCATGTGGAAGATTTTGGTTTGGCCCTCATCACAATAGCAATGGCGGAGTAGGTGCGATAGGCATCAATAAACTACAGAAGAGATCAAAACTGATTTCTGCATTTAAGTATGGAAGTGATATTTATTCTGTTTCATACAGAAATGTGGCACATGGCCGAAAAGGGGATTGGGGAAAGGACGGTCATCTTCTGTCTTAACTATAACTTAGCTAGCCGCAAACACTGACCCAATCGTACGAACAATATTCCTTACACCAAAACAACACATTCATACGTACCTTTCTTACTACAACCACCATAATACCTCTTTGTCTCTATGAAAATACTAACTAGTCCCCATATTTGTCTGTGGGGGGAGGGGAACAAAACAACAATTCTAAAAAATAGCCCCAATGAGTATTTACATTTAAGTGATATTTAGCTATCTCCTACGAGGGTTACATGTGGCACAAGGCCGGGTTTAACGTGGGGTATTCCCTCTTTGAACCCACATAAACGGGTTCAGGGGCAGTCAACCACCCCGAACGAGACGCTGCCCTTTGGCGGAGCCTCATCCGGGTTCCTCTCTGCCCGAAGGCAGAGAGTTAGACTGTTACTTAGCATGGAGCAAGCCGAGTTCCAAATTACATTTAAGTATGGAAGTGATATTTAAGCTTACCTTTTAAAAGTTCAACTATAATTTTCTGCTGCCTCTTTATGTTTAACTAATTTGTATATTGGTTTAAAAAAAAGTTTATTTCATTAATTAACAGTCCTTCATTACTGTTATCTTATTCGAGGACTGTTTTGATTTTCATATCATCAATAGTTCTGTTCAGGAATATCGCCTTATATAAAGCGGAAAAGTGTTTGAAATATGCATTTTACTTGGCGGTGTGCTAAAAGAGGAGGCTGTAAGTGGATGTTATGTGCATATGGGGGATAGCTGATGATTAGACATTGACTTTAAGAGGTTAAGAGTTTAGTGTTTATGGAAGCATGCGTGTGACAATCTGTTTAACAAATTATCAGTTTTGGAGGAAAAAACTGTCCAAGTAGGACTACCGATTTACATTTGGAATACGGGGATATAGATGATGATTCGACCACGTAGAGGTAGCATAGCTAATCCTAGCAGCGAAACAATATTCACTGAAACACATATTCAGACAACTAACAGGTTCGAACGACCTCGATTACGTGGAGCAAATGGACAGAGAAAAATGGTTATATGAATGATTTTCAATTTTGCAGACGGTGTTGGTTACTAAAACGATATATCTTCGTCCAAATTAGCTCTCAATGATATGTGATGCAACGTCAGACATTGCTGAACGTTACTGTTTTATTTTGTAGGTATACAGGATGCTTAGCGTATTTGAGTAGATACATATTTATTAACAAATCAATAAAAGACTTAATTAATACAAAACAAATGAGCTGTGTGTTTTCGATGAAAAATGACCTCGTCGAAAATTGCTAAACAATGGAACATCTAAGAAATATTAAACACGTTAAGGTTATTATGTCTAATACTACTCCGACAGAAATACCCCGAAAGACATGAAAATATTTACCGTACTTTTCCATGTGTACTACGCCTTCATCCATAATATGCACCCTTAAAATGGTATTGAAAGTGTGGGACAATGCTTCTTTAAGTCCTATGTTTCCTATCCGTATTAAAAAATGATTTAATCATAGAACAATATTATTCCAATTTAGTTCTATGATAATTCTTATTTTACATTCGTAAGTATTGTTAGGTACATATGATTATATGAAAGACATTTTTATGTTTAACATTCTTTTTGTAGATTCAAATATTTTAGTAAATGCTCTGTTTATAATAAACAGTATTAAATAACATTTACCGGCCTGAATGTCCGAGAAATTTTCATAGAAAATATTCGTCCTTTGACAGGATTCGAACCTGCATCCTATACGGAACCGTCATTTAGCTTGACGTGCCTAATCTCTCGGGTACAACGGATCGTTCCGTTGGCAAGGTCGAATTTACTACTTATAAACTTCAATCTTCCATGAATCGCGTACATTCATAACTGCTCATGGCGTATCAAATGTAAACAAAAAATGTTTCTTAATGTAGTACATATGATTGTATTTGACATCGTTATGGGGTCGCAATCGCCGAATGTTTGGGTCAAATGGTCGTATGTTTGTGGTGAGTAGTCATTTCGCAACTGAAATAGACCTATGAAACGACAATTTTTTAATTTTTTTTTTTGTAGCTGTGCATAATACGCACCCCTAATTTTGCTTATTATTTTTTAGAAAAAAAAATGCATATTATACTTGGTGAATTACGGTAAAAATAACATAGATTTACCTAAACAATTCAAAACAGTAAAAACTATTATATCTACAAATACTGCTGGGATAATAAAATAGAATTAAAAGGGAAAATACCCCAAAATTGAATAAAAATGATAATTCTTTCCCTTAAATATTTCAAAGAACTGAAGACGATTATTAGCTTAAGAAAAAATATGAACGAAAGACTATTAATAAAAACGTAATGGATTTATTTCTTATTTATTAATCCGACAGATTTAAACGTTAGTTTTAGTAGAAATTCTTATTTGAGTAGGCACTTCTTTTATTCATTAATAAATCAAAAAAGACTAAATACAAAACAAAATAATGAATTAAACTTGAAGGAGGAATTTAATCTATTAGCTGTAGTATGTGCCACACTGAATACATCGGAGAAACTTCAAGAAATTTAAATAAAAGATTATATGAACACAAAAGGGATATTTTGCAAAATAACACGTTAAATACATTATCTTCTCACCGTAACGTAACTGATCAAAATTTTGATTTTAAAAAATGCCACTCTAATTAAAAGAGAAAACAATTTACTATGACGGAAATTTTTAGAAAATGTTTAATCGCTAGATCAACCACAATAAACTTGCGTTCAGTTTCTTTCACCATTCTTGGCAGATATTCTTTTATAAAAGTGTGATATTTAATTAAAAAAAATAATGGAAACGTGAATAAGAAGAATATAAACGAAATCGAATAGATTATATACCAATACACATTAAAAAATTATCTTTAAATTTAAAATTCCAAGCGTCATTCGTTCGTGCGCATGTGCAGTCGCATTACCGGAAACATAAACTTGAAGTCCTAAATGTCGAAAGGCGTTACACGAAAACGTTTCCCAATTTATCTTACGTCTTTTTTTTTTTTTAATTAATTTCACCCCATCAAGAGAACCACTAAAACACCAAGTGATGCTAAGTATTAAATAATTAGAAAACAAAAACATTATTAAGGATCAAGAACAAGAGAACACTAATATGGAAAACAGTAGATAACGATTAAAATTGCATTTAAATTTTTGAAGATCAAAGTTATCTGGGAAGCATGTAGCCGGAAGTGAGACACAAGCGAGAAATACGAGAACAGAAATTGTTAGCATAGAACTTATGTTTACGTTTAGCCAATTCAATTTTAAATTGACGAAATCTTATTGCTGATCTGGTATTGCGCTTAAATTCATAAGGTCATGGCACAATAGTGAAGAGCGATATTTATTTTCGCTTCAATACAGAAAATGTGGCACAAGGCCAACAATTGGGAATGGGGAAAAGCACAATCTTCTACGCTCATTTAAACTTTAAACTTAGCTAGCAACAAACACTGACCCAAACATACCACAATATTCCTAACACCAAAACAACACATTCTTACTTAACTTTCTTGCTACATTCACCATAATACCACATGTCTCTATGAAAATTCTAACTAGTCACCATATGTACAGTTTTTGTCTGTGGGATGGGATAAAACAACAATTTAAAAAATAGACCCAATGAATATTTACAACATGAAAAAAAAAAAAACTATTTACAAAAAAACAAATAAAATAGTAACGAACTCATCCGAACAATTACCATGAATGTATTTATAGACAAATGGCACAGGAAAGAAACTTGACGGCAATAAGAAAGTGACTGAAGCCACGATGTCATAGCAGGATTACTAATAATGCTGATACTTCTTTTGAATTTATCAAGAATTTCTAAATATATAGCAGTAGCAATGGATCATATATGGCAGCAATATTCTAACCATGGACAAATGGTAGACTTATAGATATGTAAGATAGATTCTGGGGAGAAAAAATTGTCTAGCACTACGCTGAGAACCAACTTTATTAGCAACTGACCTAGCAATGGATTCAATGTAATCTTTCCACTTCTATGTCATAGTGCTTAATAATTAATCCGGGCATCTATTCAAATATGGGTGTCCACTAAATATAACGTTTAAGTGATAAAAATGAAAGACCTATAAAGAAAAGTGTTTAAGACAATTCTTCCTCGTAGAAAATGTGGATGTTTTCGGAAATAAAGCTGTTTTTTTTTTTTTTACGAACTGAAAACAAATGTTCAAAATACGTACCGCTCGTATACGTTTGAATTTTTCTTGGTCACAGTTAGAAAATATATTGCATTCGGGGTTGGAAAGAATTTGAAATGCTACAGCACAGTGGTGATTCTCTAAAGGAGATATGTCATTATACCTTATTGCTAGTACTGTGCGGGCGTTTATTTGGTATCTGAAAAAAAGAAAAAAAAGTACACTCCGACATATGTCATCCAGGTCAGTTTAAAAAAAAAGGGAAAAAATACACTCAGACATATGTCATTGAGGTCAGTTAAAAATAGGAAGAAAAAGAAAAAAATACACTCCGACATATCTCATCAATGACAGTTTACAAAAAAAGAAAAAAGTACACTCCGACATATGTCATCGAGGTCAGTTTAAAAACTAGAAACAAGCACACTCTGACATATGTCATTGAGGCCAGTTAAAAAAAAAGGAAGATAAAAAGAAAAAAGTACAATCCGACATATGTCATCGATGTCAGTTTACAAAAAGGAAGTACAGTCCGGCATATGTGATCGAGGTCAGTTTACAAAAAAAGTAAAATTCGACATATGTAATCGAGGTCATTTTAAAAAGATGAAAATAAGAAAAAAGTACATTCCGACATATGCCATCGATGTCAATTGAAAAAAAAAAAAGAAAAGAAAAAGTACACTCCGACATATATCATTAGGGTCAATTAAAAAAAGGAAAAAAAAAAGAAGTATAATCCGACATATGTCATCGAGGCCAGTTAAAAAAAGATAACAAGTACATTCCAACATCTATCATCGAGGTTAGTTTAAAGAAAACAAAGTATTTTGAATTCTTTGGACAGAGATATGAGCAAACAGGTAACTGAAGTTCTCGGCCAGAGTCAGTTCCCTGAATCGGAACAAAAAACCGAATTATTTTTGCAACCATATTTTCATCGGGCTTAGAGAATTCCAGTACCCGTACCAAGTTTTCTATTTTAATATTCAATGCTTATACAACTGAACATGGGATGAAATTTTGTTAAATTCTTCGAAAGTTGACTTATTAAAAAAATATAATCACATATATTATACGTAAAAGATACACGCATCAACGCGACTTGACACGTTACTGAAATGAATGTTGTTTATTTTGTGTTCTAAGTTAAAATATTGTATTTTTCTATCTTGAAAGGAACTTGAGATGACAAACATTTTTTTTCGTAAACACAATTCAATAAATCGTCCAAAACAATTTTTCTTCAGCGCATCACTCTAAAATGACGCTTTATTATTTACCATATATAGTTTAATCGTTTTACTTAAAGTTTGTATGTTGTTGATTTCAGATGAAAACTTGGAAGTTCACCAGCATATTCCATTGAAATTTTCACTTCCCAAAATTATTTTTTGTAACTGAAGTTTAGGAGGAGACTAGTACGTGATAACGGAAGAAAAAGTGCGAAAAAGAGAGAGATGCGGATGGGGAAGGAGTTTTGAGAGAAGCAAATGAAGATTTTGACGTTTAAAATGGAGTAAGGATAAGAAAGGTAAAGAGAAATAAGTAACCAAGCTAGAAAAAAAGTCAGTATCAAGAAAATTGTTCGAAACCTTTATTCGGAAAACATTTATTCGAATTGTAAATTGTTTGAATGAAAATTAATCGAAAGGACAATTATACTAAATGATAATAATTCGAAACAATACCTATGTTTTGCGATATATATGTGGTCTTGTTTTGAGAATGTCAAGCTGATAAGCTAGAATTAATAACACCCTTGGAGGATGGCATAGGGCTTCTTTTTTTTTTTTTTTGCAGTATCATCCCATCGTCACACAATATGGAAATTATTTGACGCTCTTAAAAGAGAACAAGGCTTGCAAAAAATTCATATTGCTAAAGTAACAGAAAGGTGACAAAATATCAAGAGCGCCAAGAAATACCGCGACGTGAATGGGAAATTTAAAATATGTGTGGCATCTTTTGACGATTACTCATCACGAATTGATTGGTTGGGTTTTATGGCATATCAACCACTGTGGGTCATTTAACACCAAATTAAGGTATATAGCTGGCAACATTATTTTTTCCAAAAAACGTATAGCTGGCAACATTATTTTTCCGAAAACATTATCTGAAGCCTTGTTGTTGGACGTAGTTTATCGTCATACCCAGGACGCGGATGTAGTTTATCGTCACACCCGGGACGCTCAGGAGTTGACTATTTGCATTCAGTATCATATAACTTAAGGCGATAAGGATTTTTTTCTTCCTAAATTGTTTCATTAATGATATTTGTATTTCAAATAATTATCATTTCTATATTTCCTCTTTTAATTTTTACATTTTTATTGCAATAAAGAAGTTTGCATTTCGAATAATTATCATTTAGTATAACTGTCCTTTCGATTAATTTTCATTCAAACAATTTACGATTCGAACAATTATTTTCGAACAGTGTTCACATAATCGAAAAAGGCACGCAAGAATTGTTCAACTTTGACAAAGAAAGACAACGAAGGAAGAAGAAAAAGTTTAAAAGCTGAAAGAAAACAAACAGCTCCCAATATGTCTACAGTTTGATAAGAGTTAATCTTCATAGCGTCTGTTTAAACTGATACCTTTATTTTACTGTTTGCCGTGTAGAGATACAAACGGCTATTGTTTCCCTTTCGTTAAGATAGTCACGAGGGTCACGTGCCGGCCGGTGAATGACGCCAGGGGATAGATTGACGAAAGGCAGTTGCGATGTAGTGTCCCGAGAAGGACGTCTCTCGCGCGCAGCGTTAGGTCTTTTAGTTGATAAAAACTTTCGTGACAATAATATTGTCCTTTCCGCTCCGACATTTTTTCCGTGATGAAAAAATAAGTGTTAAAATTATATTTTGTTAACTGGCACCTTGTGAACACCCGGTTTATGGAATTTTATGTAAGCAATGAACATTTCATATTTGCGTTTTCAAACCACGTCGTGGTCACCAGTATATCGGGAGATTGCTACGGAAGAAAGTTTTATTCACCCAATTGAATCCCCTCCCCGCGTTATGGACAATATTATAACTGTGATATACTTCACGGGCGTAACAAAATAGTTACGCGGAAAACAGAATGACAATCATGCTTTGTTCTCAGAGAGAGATTTTTTTAATGCTATGTCGGACACAAAGTTAGATGCATACACGTGCCCCACGCAGAGACATTATAACATATATGCAACAACATCAGTGTGTAAAAAAAGGGGAACCTTACTTGTAATATTTTCGGAAAGGAAAACTGGAATTTAGGCAGATTTGCTATGAAATTGTTTAGGCCATATGGTTATTTCCAGTATGACCAACCTGTGCGCGCTTGAGATGTCCGTCTCCTCTAGGTTGTACATCGCAACTACCTTTCGTCCCCATGTCTCCTGACGACAATCACTGGCCGTCACATAACCTGCGCAACTATCTCAACGAACGGGAGACAATCGCAGTTTCTATTCCCACAATTGTAACCGATTTGCTTAAAGATCGTATTTTCTAAATTTCACATAAAAAACGTGAATATTTTCAAGCACATATCGGTGAAACATTTTTTTTTCTCCAAAATGTTAGTTTAGAATTTGAAGATTTTACTTAAAGGAAGTTATTTTATAGGTTTCTGTAATCTGGCAACAAATATAATACGTCACACGCACGCACACACACACACACACACAAACTTATATATATATATATATATATATATATATATATATAAGTTTGTGTGTGTATGTGTGTGCGTGTGATTAAAAATATG